CACACAAACAAAAATATTAACTATCGTATGTTGAGTAGCTACCAAGGGTTAGGCATGGAATTAACCCCTTTGTATATGTTAGCTCAGTTTATTCTAATACAACTTTGTCATATACAATTTACTATTTCCATTTCATCGAGGTTTGGGAAGGTTTCAATAACTTCTCTGAGGTAATGGAGCAAATAGGAGGCAAAGTGTACATTTTAAACCACTCCTGTCTAACTTTGAAAGCTTGACTCTGAATTCACTATGTCATACACTTATATTCTACATTAAATATAAACAGCCAAGGTGGTGGGTCACTCAGGGTCACCGAGGGTGCTGAAGCACGGGTTGTGACTAACAATTCCATTTCACACATAAAACAAACTGAAAGCGGAAATCTCCAGTCCCTTGTTCATCTACATGTGTTATCTGATGGAAGGGAAAATGTTAGAACAGCTTTATTACCTTCGGCTGGGGACCGGCCTGCAGGCCAGGGGAGGTGCTACTGTGCCTCACTGAGGAATGTCATACAGGTGGATGTGAACACAGAGCCACAAGGGATCTGTTCAAAAGCGATTTCAGCCTCTTACTGGCGATAATAACATGGTGTCTGTATCATCCTTTCCTCCTTCCAAATAAGGGTGGTGCCTTTGAATCTCAGTAGACAGAGGCCAGGCCTTGTTTGAGAATATAAATCTCATGCTGCAGTCTGAATATCGTTCTCTCTCATCACACTCTGCGTGGATCTTGGTGACTCCCAATGAGTCAGATTTCTCCTTCCATCCTGCCTGAATAAAGCCAAGTATCTGTGACACAGGAGAATGAGTATTTGCCCGACAGCCAGAGCACAACATTCACCTAAACCCTGGAGGAGACATCTATGCCTGCAAATGATCCACAGCACCTGTGTGCAAAGTCTCATAAGCAGAGTTGAGGTGAATGACACAGAACATTAGTGCAGGTGGGGCTAGAGGATGGGGGAGTGGGGGTTGAGGGGCTATGACATGTCACTGGACTTCTCTTACTTACTAATTTAATATGAATGCAAGGCCAACTTATGGGGTGGAGTGAGCAGGACAGCCAAATATATAAAATAAAAATTTTAAGCTCTCCACCCCCATATCATCCATCCATGGGGCAGGGGTGCGTAAGACTGTATCATGTGCACTATGCTGTAAGCTGCTCTTTGTGTCTAACACTCTGTCTTGGGATCTGTCCACTTCAGCACGCATGCTACCCCATTGCTTAAATGACTGCATGGTTTTCCACTGGACAGATGCTCTTGTCTTTATCCCACCAGTTCCCTATTGCTGAGAATTTGGCTGCAGAAAGCTTTCATTAACGAGTAATTCTGTTAAAGCAATAGATACATAGGACTATGAAAAATACTTGACAACCCCCATCCAACTGAAATGAAATTCAAATTTTAAAAATAAGAATTTAAACAGCTTAGGAAGTTTGAACCGTTTTATTAATTTTAAATCTTTTGAATGCTTATTATTAAATGAGAAAGCTTCCATTATTGCCCTACATACTTATCAGAGAAATGAAACCTTTCCTTTTGCTTGAAGTGTTTTGACAGAATTTCTGAAAACAAGAAAGAAAGGGCCTCTAGGGGGAAAGTGAACACACCAGGCATATGAGATTCTAGTACTCCTCCTTCGAATAGGGGTTATTTTCAATCAGTTACTTACTGTGCCTGGTAGATATCAGACAAAACCAGATTGCAAAGAAAACCATGAGCTCTTCAGACTACTTTTTTACAGAGGCCTTTATTTTCTTGAGTTGCCTGTAGTTTTAGAAAAATTTACAGCAGTCTTTAAACATATCTTAGACAAAGAGTAGATGGTAATCTATAAATAATAAAACAATAAAACAAAACTATTCTCTTACATTTTGTTTTCATTTCATTTCGTTTTTTTTAAAGCTCATTTATTTATTTATTTTTATGTTGAGAGAGAGAGAGAGCGAGCACGAGCAGGGGAGGGGCAGAGAGAGAAGGAGAGAGAGGATCCCAAGCAGGCTGCGCTGCCAGCACAGAGCCTGATGTGGGGCTCGAACTCACTAACTGTGAGATCATGACCTGAGCTGAAACCGAGAGTCGGATGCTTAACCGACAGAGCCACTCAGGTGCCCCAGTTTTGTCTTTATTTTAAAGGAAGGCCCCTGTGACATCTAATAAAGCCTAGTGGCTTTCAAGTCATCTTTTGTTCCAAACATACCCCTAGGTGGAAAGTATCGATAGCACATTAGAGCCCAAAGTGTCGACGTAAGTTTCTGAGGTTGGAATATACAGCTGGGTCAAACGGACTACCAGATGCACAGTACTGAACGCCTGAACCTTGATGGGGTTGCAAACTAACTTTATGTGTCGAAACTGCATGTACAGACCCAGCTTAGTTAATTCTTTACAGGTGGTGGGTATTTAATAAATATGTGCTGAGTGAATGAAGAAATGGTTTTGAAAGGCAACATATTGTCACGTTGTCTCCTGGTGACAGACTACATACCTAAGAATGGTGAAGAGAAAAAAAAGGATACAATCTGGTGCCAAGAAAGAAGGAGAAAGATTATATTTACAGAATCACTGCTTCTCTAGTCCACTGTAAAAGTGTGAAATGGTTGAAATAAATCTTCAAAGAACGCTCAAGCCTTCCTTTTTGCCCAGTCTTCCTAACTTAACCCTTTAGTCATGATCCTTCTTGTACCTCTGACAATGACTGGGGAGGCTCATGTTCTTGCCGTGGCTTCTTCCTCCTTTTGTACCACCTGCATTATAACAGTCCTGATGAATTAATTCTCACTAAGGTCTAACTGACTAATATAGCGAACCTGTTCCTCATCAGGATTCCTTATTTTTTAGTAAAAGACACAGAAATTAGTCTTAACTTTATTAATGTTTCAGGATACGTTAATACTTCAATAGTCACATGGACTTTCCAGTACCTCTGAAATCACCTTGTGCAGCATGATCCCCCTGTGGTTACTCATACACCAGGCTGTGTCCACACCTAGAATTATGCATTGGGCTCAAAAGTCTTTTGCTGATTCTAAACTATATTCCTTAGCCTTACTCTGAGGAAAGAGGACCAGAATATCGGTTTAATTCTAAGCTTTGGCTTCGCCAGAAGGAAGTCCTCTTCTACATTATTGAAAACAGTTAAGTCACAGGGATCTATTTTATGTCACAGAAAATAAATGCCACATACAGAACAACTACCCAAAATACTTAAAAGGCTAAGCCAAGGGTAAAAGTTTGAAACACCCTGATTCTCTATGGTATGTTATAAAGTAGTTTAAACTATCTGTGGCCCAGAAGTAGTCTAGTTAGCACTTGTTAAGTATAACTACTGTTTGAAGAATTGCTTATAGAAAATTATGATACACATATCTGGCCTGGGACATATATTTTGTAGTGGCTCCTCTGAAGGGATTTGCAAATTAAATTATTTAAATGTGCTTATCATTAGCAGTTTAAATAAATGACATTTATTTTGGCAAGAGATTAATTTTTAACTTGGCAGCTGTTTTCAGACAGATTGTTGTCAGGTTATTACAGTGCCTAACTTTGAAAGAAGGAAGAAATGTACAGGAGATTATTTTGGTTTTAGACTTTCAGCTTGCATTTCTCCAAAGAGGCAAATAATTTCATCCATGCCCTACGATACTGGGTCCCAAAGACATTGCAATGTTGGCATCTTTGTGACCTGATTTCAATAATAACCCCACATGTGGAGAACTAAAAATGTTCTTTAAAAGAGGAATTCTTCAAATATACTCTTCAGAAGCTGTTTTGTTGGTAAATTGGAGATTTATATAAGAGCACATCATAGAGGAGCAGGGTAATATATTGGTAATATACTGAAAAGAGATTTGCAAGATGTGGGCTCAAGCCCCAACTCTGAGAAGCCCACTAACTTGGGGTGTACTTGCCAAGACCTCCAGCCTCAGTTTCCCATCTTCAAGAGAAGGGTATTTGGAGCTGACTACTAAAGTCCTTGCGTGAAAAGTCCGTGCACCTGTGAAACCAGCCTCAGTAGTATCAATCAGGTTTTGCCCAAGGTTGTCCTGTGGTCTACACAAAGACCACAGGGTATCTCTTCATCTATTTCCCCATCTGAAAACTCACAGTTCCTACATTCCATTTGCCTCCAATTTTAATATTTCAACTTTCAGCCACAATTCATGACAATAATGTCCCCTGACATTGCAGCTGTCAATGGGATAGTAACCCTAAATTATGTTTTATTACTGGCTAGCATAATGGAAAAGAGGGAGGTTTCTTGAAGAAGGGCACAACTACCACCATCTAGTTAAACACTGCTTTGAATTCATGAGCAAATTGCCAGTTTATGATACAAGGTAACAAGCCACCAATCGAACTTCAATGGAACACTACAACAGGCTACAGAAATACCATAAGGTAGCTACCAACACCCCACTTCATTCTCTTTCATTGAAAAGAAACTTCAAAAATTAAACTTTGAGCAACGGAGAAACGAGGAAGTCGATTTTTAATCGGAAAAGACCCAAGACAACACATTGGCCTCTTTTAGCATAAAAAGCTCTCAGCATATATATCCTTCGCCAGAAGTTTAAACACTAATCAAAATAGAAATCTATTGTTTTTTTCAAAGTTTTAATTTAAGTTCCAGTTGGTTAACATGCAGAAATATTATTAGTTTCAGGTGTACAATCTATTGATTCAACGCTTCCAGAAGAAATCTATTTTCTAATAAGAAACCAGACTAAGTTCAAGAGAATATAGAAAATGGTTTCAACATTTTTTACAAGTAAGCAACCAGATATAATGGGTCAATTCATGAAAAAGATTCTCACTTGAATGTCTTACCATTTTAAATTCAAATAATGCTTTTCAGTTCTCCCTCTGGATTACATAAATCGTAAACCCAGGATTATATAAATTCTAAACCCAAAGGTACATGAGAATTCTCCCACTGCAAGATTCAGAGCAGAATGTGAGACATAGTTTTGAAACAATGAAGAAGTCATACCTTGAAATCATATGTGGCATCTGGGTTTTCATCACAGGCAATAACTTCTGGCGCCATCCAATAAGGGGTCCCAATGAAGGTATTTCTCCTGCCCACTGTTCGATCAAGCTGGGCACTGACTCCAAAGTCCACTATTTAAGAGAAGACACATGCATGAAGTCAATGTCCTTATATGGTGCTAAAATGAATGTGCATTTTTTTTTTTACTGTGGCAAAATAAACCCAACATAGAATTTACAATGTTAATCATTTTTAAGTGTACAGTTCTGTGTCATTAAATACATTCACATTGTTGTGCAACCATCCCCACCATCTGCTTCCAGAACTTTTCTGTCTTCCCAAACTGAAACTCTGTACTCATTAAACAATAACTCCTCATTCTCTCCTCCCCGCTCCCCACCCCTGCCCCTGGCAAGCACCATTCTACTTTCTGCCTCTGTAAATCTGGACTACTGTTGGTACCTCATATAAGTGGAGTCATACAGTATTTGTCTTTTTGTGACTGGCTTATGTCAATAAGCATAATGTCATCAAGATTAATCCGCATGTGTCAGAATTTCCTAACTTTTTAAGGCTCAGTAATATCCCATCGTATGCAGGTGGCACACTGTGTTTATCCATTCATCTGCTGATGGGCAACTTGGGTTGCTTCTTCCTTTTAGCAATTGTGAATGTTTATTTTTAAACTCTGTGTATAAATGGATAAAGTATACCAATGAGGAAAGCACAAAATGCTGTATTTGGCTAAACCAAGGGTCTGTAGGGACCAAAAACAGGTGTTGAATAAAAAGCAAGCTTGTTTGCCATAAAAGAGAATACTTAGAGGATACAAAGGAAGTGGTTATGAGCCAAGTTTCTAGAGTCAGACTGCCTAAGTTTGCATCCCATTTCTGCCACTTACTAGTGATGTCACCTAGTGCTAGCAGATCAACCTCTTTAGGCTTCAGTTTCCAAATTTATAAAATGAGGGTGATGATATTTGCATAGAGTTGCTATGATGGCAAAGTGAGAGAAACTATGGAAGAGTGTTGTGTACAGGGCCTGACATAATATTCTCTCAACAAGTGACTGTTGATGAATGATGACTGAATATTCTGAGGATACATTATCTAGCCAGTATACACAAACATATGTACATGCACGCACGTGTGTACACACACACACACACACACACACACACACACACGCACACACACACACACACACACCCTGCCTACGAAATGTATGCTTTTAAGAGGGAATTACTCACAAGATGAAAGTTTGGCCCCAAATGCTAACTAAGAAAAAATGGAAATTATGCATTTTAACAAAGAGGCAAGAACAAATGTTTAGGATATAAACACAGGAGATATTTCAATCTCTTTGAAAATAAACAATCATATGGGCAATACCTCCTTTCTAGATGACAAATTGCATATCCTAGAGATAGCTGTCAATCCACGCCCTTACTCATAGACGCCAAGCAGGCAAATGCATGTGGAGATTCTCTACCTTCTCTTCCCACCAGATTGTTGGAAAGAAGCACCAAGGAAAAGGGTTGCCTCACAGATAACTCTGGCAAGTGGAAGTAGGATATCCAGCATGCATACAAAGGAGAATACTGAACACCCATTTTGTGCACGTGCCCTAGGTAATAATGAAGTCGATGAAAATATAATGTAAAACATATGGGAATATAGCAGGAATTCATTATTCTAAATGTGTCTAACAGGATATTTTTCAGTAAACAAATGGGTCATCACTTTCTGTTATAGCAGCAACAAAGTCAACAAATGGTAAGATACAGGAAACCACTTCAAGGTCAGTCACTTCTAATCTAAAGGGTTTTGCTTTAAAAAAAAAACCTCATTTTGGGGGGCACCTGGGTGGCTCAGTCAGTTAAGTGTCTGACTTAGGCTTAGGTCAAGATCTCACAGTTTGTGGGTTCGAGCTCCGCCTCGGGCTCTGTGCTGACATGTCAGACCCTGGAGCCTGCTTTGGATTCTGTGTCTCCCTCTCTCTCTGCCCCTCCCCCACTCACTGTCTCATTCTCTCTCTCAAAAATGAATAAACATTAAAAAAAATTTTTAAAAACCTGAATTTTTTCCTACGTATTGATTAAGCAAATGGTTCTGTCTGCTATATTGTATACCAATTCACTCAAGCACTTTTAGAAAATGTTTTGAAACAGACAAAGAAACATTTTCCTCTTCGTTCTGTAGTACACTGACCTCCAAATTCACAGTGACAAATTTGCATTCGTTAAAAACAAAACAAAATGGAAAAACAATCAGCTGTTGAAATAATCGTATCAGTTCCCTCAATTCCTAGGCTCACTGGATCCTGTTCTTACCTAGTTTAACTTCTGCGTTCTCAGTCAGCAAGACATTCTGCCCTTTAATATCTCGATGAATCACTTTATGCTGGTGCAGATGACTCAGCCCCTGGAGTAACAGAGAGTTGACAAGGGTTAACAGGACAGAAGCCAAGATGCAAATAAACTAGCTGGGTTGTCAGTGATCCCAAAAAGATGTGAACTCACCCAGAGAGACTTTTGTTATCAGACTCACATCTTTCATATGTGTACAGTGCTGTTCTAAACTAGGCAACTGATCAATACAAACTAAAATACAGAAGCAGCCTTTGCAACGCCCGGTGCTGTATTAATGAACTGCTTGCATATCAGCATTGATCTCAGGTAGCATCGACCCAAGCGGACGATGATGCGGCTCTGGCATGCACGAGGTTCGGCTGATAGTACTGAGAAAAGTGAGGGCTGGCTGCATGTGCTGGTTTGTAACAGAGTCTAGAGTCTCTTACAGAAAACTAACCTGATTTAACTAAGTACTCCAGTTTGTTTTTTAAATCAATATCTGAATTCAAAAGTTAAAAGTTACATTATAGTGTATAATTAAAAAAATTTTTTTTCAACGTTTTTTAAATTTATTTTTGGGACAGAGAGAGACACAGCATGAACGGGGGAGGGGCAGAGCGAGAGGGAGACACAGAATCGGAAACAGGCTCCAGGCTCCGAGCCATCAGCCCAGAGCCTGACGCGGGGCTCGAACTCACGGACTGCGAGATCGTGACCTGGCTGAAGTCGGACGCTTAACCGACTGCGCCACCCAGGTGCCCCTATAGTGTATAATTTTAACTAAGCACAATGAAACATTTCTCAGTCCAGACAAGAAATTTCCCATTGCCTTTAGCCAAAGTGCCTCACATTAAAAAAAGAAAACAGCAATTTCCCTTTCCTTTGTTTGGCATTCATAGCTGTCATCTTTAGTGCTTTGTGATATTTATGACTTTGTGTTCATTATATGAAGTAATTATGTGGTGGCATCCAAACCTGATTGTGTTCCCCTTCTCCATGAGTTACTCTCACTTTGGCTTCTCTGTGGTCTGAGCTCTAAAAATCTACAGACTTGCTCTAAGTCAGACAAAGCATAACCTAAAACAATCTCAAATTGGTGTCTTAAAGCAAATTATGTCATGCTAACACTTGCTCATCCAAGGTATTTATACTCAGGTATTGCCATTTTATTATTTATACTTTGCTGTCTTTTTAATTTTCCTGCATAATGACAAAACCCTGGTATGAAAAATGAAGTTGACATAAAAAAATTCTAACTATCTGAATTCCCTTGTTGAAAAGACTCATCAGAAGAATATGGATGTTCAAAAAGATCAATGTGTATGTTCAGGAATATCAGTAAACATAAACCATGAGAGTTTGAAGCATTGGCTTGGGTGCTAAAAAATTACCTTTCTTATCTAGTCAGGTTAGCTCAAGGTGGACATCAAGCAGATTAAAATGCTTTACAGCATCTTAACATCCCATGAATTCTTAAAAGAGGGACTGAAAATTCCTTGGCCTCCTTCACTACCAGAGCTTTTGGAAGCAGGTACCAGAGCACACAAGTGAGCCAAATGCCATATTTTATGACATCGTATGATGCATGGAGGGTTATCTCTGAAACTTCTTGTGATTGAGTGTCTCTTCCAATGAGTCACCTTATCTCAAATGCCAGTACCTTTTGGGAGAACGTATTGGAAGAAGGAAGAAAACAGTTTTCACACATTCTACCCAAGCACTGAGGGAGAATCATCGGGTGATGGTCCTGCTGTTTTCAGAACCCTGGAGAGCACATGGTGGATCCCCAGGGTTCCCCAGCTGGGGTTCCTCAGCAGCACAGAAAGGTATATTGCAGAACCAGCCCTGAAGACCCAACAGATTCTTGGCACCACTGAGTGGTCTCGAAGACTGAATAACCTTTCGTGCTTTCTCTAAATGAGTAAAATTGTAAGTCAGAAATTCAAATGAAGTTGACAAAAAGGCACCTCGATCTTTGAAAATAAATGTCAGATTTGAAGGACAGCAGCAGCCATACCTCCTTGTATCCCACTCAAATTTTGTTTTGTGTTCTTTTGCCCACCCCAAGCCATGGAGAGCTTATCCTATGTTTGCTCTTAAGAGCTTTGTTTTTTGTGTTTTTCACCTTTATGTCTCTAATCCAGCTGGTGTTAATTTTTAAGCAGGATATAAAGTAGGTATCAATAGTTTTCCACACGACTATTCAATTAACCAAGCACTATTTACTGATAAGGGCACCCTTCCCCCATGCACTGCAGCACTTCCTTTGTCATAAATCAGGGGTCCATATGAAGTGCATCTGTTTCTGGATATTTATCCTGTTCCTTTGGCCATCTGTGTATTTGTGTGACGATACCTCATTCTGTCTTATCTACTCAGTAGCTTTATAATAAGTCTTGGTAACTGGCACCATAACTCGTTCAGCTTTGTTCTTCTTCTTCAAGATTGCCTTGGCTATTCTAGGCACTTTGCATTTCCATTTAATGTTTTAAAATTCAGCTTGTCAAGGGGTGCCTGGGTGGCTCAGTCAGTTGACCGTCTGACTCTTAATTTCGGCCCAGGTCATGATCTCATGATTCGTGGTTTCGAGCCCCACGTTGGCCTCTGCACTGACAGCTCAGACCTTATTTGGGATTCTCTCTCTCTCTCTGCACCTTCCCTGCTTGCACTCTCTCTCTCTCTCTCTCAAAATAAATAAGTAATTGTTTAAAAAATAAAGCTTGTAAATATCCACAGATACACCTAGAAAATTTTGATAGGGAGTTCAATGAAACCACGGATCAAACTGGTAAGAAATAACATCTTTACAATATTCAATATTCTTATCTGTGAAATGGTATATACCTCCATTTATTAAAGTCTTCTTTAATTTCTCTCACTAATATTTTGTAGTTTACAGTGTAGAAGTCATTCACATCTTTCTATAAATTTATTTCTAAGTATATGCTATTACAAATGTTATTTTTATGGGTCCATTTTCTTTCTTCCTTTCTTTCTTTCTTTCTTTCTTTCTTTCTTTCTTTCTTTCTTTCTTTCTTTCTTTCTTTCTCCTAATGTGGTTTCAATTTCTTAATGCCTTCTATCCACCCACCCATCCATCCATTCACAGCACATAATCTGTCTCTCAAAAGTGTATCTTGGGCACATCATGAACATAGTTTTAACTTTTATTCCCTTAGATTAAGAAGGCAGAGCTTATAAATAAATTATGATTGTGAAGCAGATCTAGTAATAATGCTCAGTAAACGTACAATAGACTCCATATTACTAGCAAGAGATGAATAAACTAGTCTGACTGAACCCTGACCAATTACCTTCTTCCTGAATTGAGCTCAGTACATATGATACTATTGTCCAGATTGCCTGACTGAGATTAGTGGGCAAAACTGGACAAATATACGTAGTCTTATCCAGATATTTTGATTGATTTAAGTGACAACGTCTCAAAGATTTTTTTTTTTTCATTTAAAATCAGTTAGACGAGGTTATAAATGCTGGAATGGTTAACGTCATGCAATTCGTAAACTATTTTCATAAATGGAAAATTCAAGTAATCGAAAAAGCTCTAAAAAATTCATTTCTTAAGTGAAACCTTATCTCTATGATCTAAAATCATATTTCTAATTGAAAACACCATTGGAAATGGTTAAGGAAAGTCAACCAGTGTTAACCCCCCAAATGAGAGTTCACATGGCCTGATCAGAATGACTCTCCCTTCTATTGGAGCAGACCACAAAACCACCACCACTGCCATCATTGTTAGAATAAAGCTTTAGAAAGGTCTACGATACTCTTGTGAATGTCAGTGGAAGGTTGGTACTAAGTTCAACACCTCCCAAGATACTCCATGTTGTCACTTACTCGTAAGATCTCCCTGCAGATGTACGCGATCCACTCTTCCTTCAACGTGTTACCTTTTGTGTTCTTGATCAGGTCAGTGACAGAGCCAGCACCACAAAACTCCATCACCAACTGGCAAAGGAAGCAAACATACCATAATTATAATTATACTTCACAGCTTCCACTGGGTTAAGACAGCATAAGTGATTCAGTTGGCTGTTTTAGAATGCCATTCCTGTAAGGAACAAGTGATCGTAAGACAATATATAAAACATAAACTTATATCTTAATTTCTTTCCAAAATGATGGAAAAGAAAGATTATTTTTAATTTTCCAATCTGAAAATTATAGTTGGAAATTGAGGAAAATCTCCATATTCTAAGTTATTTTTAAAAACGAGGGCAGATGTATTTGAGAATACCTCTGCAGTTTTATCCAGCAATTGATCTCATCTCTCCTACAAAAGCAGATCATTCTCCTGTCTGAAAGAGCTATGGTTTTCTAGGCAGTCCAACATTGGGACAATAAAGTGTAGGCTGTTTATGCTATTGGTTTGTAAGTGGCACTGTAAGCTGTCAGAGTGGGGACTATCTGTTTTTAATTAACTTCAGCAAATGTTCCCGGGAGGTTAGACACATCAAATAAATTCGATAAACAATAAGCCTTAATTTAGCACCTTTCATCCAAAAAGCTTCAAGTTCTCTATAAATATAAACTCATTACAGCACTCAGCAACTTTATCGAATAGGCAGAAAATAATCCTCTCCCTTATTTAATAGAGAAATAAAGACTAGAAGAGGGAAAACAATCCATCTGATTTTACACTCATTTTCTAGGTTGAGGAAACATATCCATTTCCATATTTTCTCCCTTTTCTTAAAACTAAAAGAGGTCTTCTACAAATGTCATCTTATTAAGTACTTATATATTTTTTGTAATTATATGAAAAGAATTCAGAATAACTAGCAATCAATCTCTGACTAGATACTAGAAACAGAACTAAAATGGATCCACAAGAAATCACATTGACGGTTTTGGCTTTGTCCAAATGTCCATTCCCAACATCAGCACCATGGTTGCCTAATAGAAACTCAGTAAAACTCTGAAATGAGTTTCATGAATGAGTTTCCAGTGCGTCTTCTGACTTGTCTTATGATTCCACAAATGGCAGGAAATGCTACCATCTTCTCCAGACTGCCAAGGGAAGTAAAGAGACCTATTAGAAGTTTCTGTAAGGAAATTTGAGAAGTGCCACGGTAGCTCACACTGCAACCCAAAGAGAGTTGCAGAGTTGTCATATATGATAGCCAGGAAGCTATAGGAGACCACAAGATCATGTTAGAAAGAACTCAAGAATCAACTTGAAGAGGTTCTCACTGGCCAACTATGGGATGATTTGAGCATCAATAAAAGTAACAACTGCAACGGCTTGAAACACATTAAATATGCCTAACTAAATGCATTAATAAACAACCCTCAAAAAGAATATATATATAACTGGCTCCATCTTATTTTGAGACTGGTAAATAAAGGGAAAGAATCAAGTTTCTACTTGCCAATCTGAGACAAGTTTTACCACTGGATAATTAAGTACTTAAGAGGTAAATTTTCTTTTCATAAACAGCAGGCATTCCATGCAATAAATGAAGAGGACAGAAGAGAATTAGAATATTACTATTTCATAGCCCCTAAATAAAAAAATTTAAGCACTGATTATCAATGGCTGCTAACACTAAAATAACTAACTAACTAACTAACCAGACAGGATTTGCCTCTTGATTAGAATAACAACATCACCTAAGAAGTAGCCTTGCCAAAAACAAACAACAGCAAACAAACAAAAAACCCAGAATCTGATCAAGTGTTTAGTTCCAACTGCCAAATTACAAAAAATTCAGAGTACTGAGGAACATCTTACCTCATGGGGACACAATCAAGAAAACCTAGAATAGGAAACTCCATAGGGCAAATGACCCATTTGCTTTAACAAATAAATTGCAAGAAGGTAAAAAAGGAGATGGAGGGGATATCTATAGACTTAAAACCACTAAAAAAGATATACCAACAATGTGCAAAGGATGCAACTTATCTAAATATGATTTTTTTTAAAAAGCTGTTAAAATTGTTGAGGCAATTAAAGCTTTGCATACAGACTAGATATTTGATGATACTAAGGAAATATGAAGGTTTTTTAAAAGTGTGATAATGGTTCTGTTGTTATGTAAAAAATTCTTATCTTTTAGTGAAACATACTGAAATATTATGGATAAAATGATATGATGGTCTTTTCTATAAATGCTGCTGGGACAACTGAATATCCACATGTAAAAGAATGATGTTGAACCCTGACCTCATACTATACAAAAATTATCTCAAAATGGATCAAAGACCTAAATGTAAGAACTAAAACTATAAAACTCTGAGGAGAGAATACAGGGGTAAATTTCCATGACCTTGGACTTGGCAATGGTTTCTAGCTATGACAATAAAAGCACAAACAACAAAAGAAAACACAGATAAATTGGATTACATTAAAATTAAAAACTTCTATGCATCAAAGGATATAAACAAGAGAGTGAAAAGAAAACTCCCAGAATGGGAAAAATATTTGTAAATCATATATCTAATAAAAGTCTAGTATCCAGAATATATAAAGAACAGATCAACAACAAAAAAATAAACAACATCATTTAAAAATGGGCAAAACACTTGAATAGACATTTCTTCAAAGAAGATATACAAATAACCTGCAATCACATGCCAAGATGTTTATCATCAACAGTCATTAGGAAGTTGTAAATCAAGACAATAAGATACCACTCTATACCCACTAGGATGGTTATAATTTTTTTAATAAGTCAGAAAATAACAAATGTTGGCAAGGATGTGAGAAATTGGAGCCCTCATATACAGCTGGAGGGAATGTAAAATGTTGCAGTCACAAACAGTTTAATGGTTCCACACACATTAAGTTAACATAGAATTGCCATATGACCTAGTAAGTCCAATTTTAGGTATATACTCAAAAGAATTGAAAACCAAGTATTCAAACAAAAACTTGCATCAGAATGTCCAAAGCAGCACTATTCACAATAGACAAAAGGTGGAAGTAACCAAAATGTCCACCATTGGATGAATAAACAAAATGTGGTATATCCTATAATAAAGTATTATCTTGCTATGAAAAGGAAAGAAGTACTGATGCCTGATACAACATGGCTGAATCTTGAAAAGATTATACTAATTGAGAGAAGGACCAAAAAGGCTCTATATTGTATAAACCCACTTATATGAAATATCCAGAATAGGCAAATCCCTAGAAACAAAAAGATTAGTGGTTGCCAATGGTTTCCTTTTGGAGTCATGACAAAGTTCTGGAACTAGATAGTGGTAATGGTTGGACAATACTATGTACTTAATGCCACTAAATTATATATTTTAAAATGGTTAAAATGTTAAATTTTATGTTATATATTTTTTATCAGAACTTAGAAAAAGAGATATAATGAGAAGATATGTTTCAAAATAATAGAAGGAAAGAAGTGGGTAAGCATATGGATGGGCAGGATTGGTCAATGATTGATGGTTTGGGGACTAGTGTTGCACCTACGAGTGTCCATTATATTGTTCTCTTTACTATTGTGTATTTGGGGGATTCTCTACAATACAAAGTTAAAGAAAAATCCCATTGTGTAGCAAACCATGGTTCAATGGTGGCAGGATAGACTGAAGAAACATCCTTGGGTTGAAATATTTTCTCAAGTGAGCTGAATATGTTTGTGCTCCTTTCTCTTCTCAAATCTCATTTTGACAAACACAGTGACCAGACCTCCTATGAATCCTTCCATTGCTCCCATATCAGCGGGAGAAAATGTCCCACCGCTGAGCTCTATTGGGCCACAAAATTATAGTTCCCAAGGAAAGCAGTGGAAGCCCAGTGACTCTAGTCTTTTAAAGTTAGATTGGACAAAATACTTTCAAATATTCAGTAGGAAACAATCCTGCTCTAGCCAGGCACTAATGTCAGTGATTTCTATAATTTGCTTCTCTATTCAGCTCTAGCTGAAGGCTGCTGAATTCTTTTCATCTCACTATGGAATGAAATGATTGTTAAATTGTGTAATGGGATTTAAAAAAAAAAAAAAGAGAAAGAAAGGAAGAAACCAGCATTTGCTAGCAACTGGTTCCTGCAGCCACAGTGACACTGATAATTACTGCCACCACGCAGCAGGGACCCTCCCTCATCACAAGTAACCTCATCACATTAATAAACAGAAACAGGGCTCAACATGCCAAGCCCAGCAGCAGTAAGTCAATAACTTCACATCTCACAAGCAAGAAATAATGGATCATTAATATCTTCCCCCAAAGAAAGTTCTTGAAGAGTTGACACTAGGACAACAATACTTGCTAACATTAACTGAGAATCTGCCATGTGCCGGGTGCTGGGCTTGGTGATTTGCAGCTACTGATTCATTAATACGCCATTGCCTCAATTCCCTTTTCCTTATTCACTTAGAAATGAAGCTTAGTAATGGTCTGCAGCCTTATCTATGGTATACCTACTCATTAAGTAAGCAGAGCGTGTTGAAAGAATGGTGCTCTCTCAAGTACTAGTTATGTGACCCTGGGCATGTATGTTCTCTAACCACCCTGGGCTCAGCACCCCACCACCATCACTATAAAATACAACATAAAACAATAAAATAAAATAAAATAAAATAAAATAAAATAAAATAAAATAAAATAAAACAAAATAAAACAAAACAAAACAAAATAAAATAAAACAAAATAAAATAAAATAAAATAAAATAAAATAAAATAAAATAAAATAAAATAAAACAAAATGTTTGGTGTGAACACTAAATGTGTTTATGAGTGTAAAGGTCCTGGCAGTCCCAAATCTTAAACTATACTTATTACTTTTTATCTGTTGGTCTGTCTGCATTTTTAAAAACGAGCAACCAGGAAGAGTTTCCAGCTTGGAAGATGGTATCAATAGCTTCCCAAGATCCACTTCAAATGGCTGACAGAACATGGGGCACATGCATTTCTATAACCTCTATTAACAAAAGAGCACAAAGAACACATGGCTTTTTTTTAAGCTTGTATCACATGGCAAGAAAAAAACA